TGCCCGGCTTTGCTACACGCCGCAGCGAATGCAATAGCCACGAGCGTGTCTCGAAGCCTGTGCTCTGCCTTGACTCATCCTGGTGAATTGCCTCGCTCAAGGAAACAAATCTAGATTACGCAAATGTTTTAGTACGCACCATGGTTTAAAGAATCCAGAAGGACTCTCAGAAACAACTAAGAATCCAAGGACAGCAACTGAAAAGAGTCTGCCTAAATTATTTCTCTTTTCATCACTGTGGTATCTTGCATTGCATGAACAAATCCTTTGGTATACAAAAAAAATAATTTCAAGGGTTTTCTTTCTTTTTTTCCCTTCTGCCTTAATTTTTATTTTAAAACAGGTGAGACTGATGTTTCCAAGCTGCTGTACTTTCAGTCTCTATTCCAGATGAAGGAGCTGTGTCTGGCTACCTGAATTCAGCCGCAAGACGACAGCCTGTCGAGCACCACAGCTCTTTTCAAAAAACGCATTAAAAGGAACTTTAAAAACAAGTGAATTTTGTCACCCTTCTACCTTATCATTCACTATACCAGAAATACGATGTGCAAAAGCAACTTGCTAACTAGAGCAGCAACAGCTACTCTTGAACAGTGTAAGGAAAAATTAACTTCACACTTCAAAAGCAGCAAGGTGGTGGTGTTTTTTTTGTTCCCGAGTCTCTTCATCTCTGTGTCTGTTCTAAAACATCCATTAGAAATGTCACTGAAATAAATGGACAAATCAGGCAGAAACCCTGTAGCTGAATTTTGCCTGTGGCACTCAGCAGAGTCAACATATTCCTACTTGTAGAAAAACTACAAAAGGAAAAAAATCAAGAGAGAGCTTAAAAGAAAGTATTTTCAAAGGAAAGGGAATGGTTCTTATATATTGACAGTAAGTTCATGTTACTTGAGAAACTAAAACGGATACCCTAACATGCCACATTGATTTTTTTTCCCCTGCTTTCCTGAAAGAAATAGAACCTGTGCTGTTGTACTGGATAGTCATCCATCAGTCTTCTCTCCAACGATTTTTCAGCCTACTGACCAATTTCAATCACATCCCAGGGAGAAGGAGAAACCTCGGACAGAATTTATGCTCCTACGGTTTTGAGAAGGTGGCAGGTGGAACGAGGGGCTCCACGCTGGGGAGGAACGGCTGGTGGACCTCACCAGATGTGTGGCTGGGGGCCAATTAACACTGTGCCTGACGGGCGTCAGCTCAAGCCTAGTGTGTGCTGTTCTTTTTTAGGGCATTGGGGATGACCGGGGTTGACAAGACATAGCAGAATACGACACCAGTCTATGGTCATTAAGCTGTATTAGTTCCTTGCCCAGGGAGTGACTTATTACTCCCAGAGGTACTAAGGGCCTTTTTTTTTTTTTACCATAAATGTTCACTGTAACCTTAGATACAGAGAAAATTTGCTAGGCAGGTGACTTCTGTGCTTCAAAACTGTGGGTTTTTTTACTTATTTCCTTTAAGTACTTTGCAAGTGCTTTAAGTGGAATAAAACCAGTGTTTGGGTATTCACTGCTGTGCAGGCTACCACTCCCCACTGCAGTCCATCTCCAGGATTTGGTGGGCCTTGCCCAGATTTTTCTGGAGGTCCTAACATGGATTTTCCTAAACATGAATGTGGCTTAGAGTTCTTCCCAGCTAGCCCACCTACCTCTTCAGATGTGCCATGAGATACCGTAATGTTTCACAGTGTGCAGGCGGCAGCAGTTTCAGCGCCTCATGGAGAATTTCCAGCTGTTCATCCGGATCGGTGGTTTCTGAAACACAGATGTTCAACTGTCACCACACGTACAGCCAGAATTCACACGCAGAAAGACAACAACGGTGGCCTGCAGAGGAGACGGGGACTCACAGTTCTGCTGGATGTACTTATTCCCAGAACCAATCCAAACCTCATAGCGGAGGATCTGCCTGTCCAGAGGTGCTCAGAGCACAGCCAGAATGTGACTGGTTTTGGACAACGAAGCGAACTGTACTCCAGCAAAAGATTCCCTGCAGCCTACTAAAAAAAAAAAAACAACCCTCCCCTGGCAATCCTTGCTGACCTGACTAGTCTTGCACAAATAATCTACAGGTGCAGGCCTGGGACAGCAGAAGGCACTGGGAACGTTGCCATCAGCGTCTTCAGCTGCATCCATGCTACTGGGAAAGAGCCTTCTCCAGAGGAGTGGCAAGGCCAGCATCCGGCCTCCGTCTTCTACCCACGGCTCCCTCGCGTTTCCAGGTGTGGCTGGCGTGACCACTACCTTGCAGAGGTGCTTCAGGCAGCCAGGATGCTTGGCAGAGAGACGTTCCGGCTGGGTCTACTGTCATGCTTGCAGACTCACTGTCTGCGAGGCCAGCTTTGAAGGTAGCCTTAGAATGAGTGCTTATCAGCTTGTAAAAACACTCAAAATGGACAGCTCTAGAAACAAATGACTTCTTATTTCTAAACATTTTCATAAATCACCTTCTTTCTGGCAACACAAAACCGACCGCCTTTAAATGTCACTGTCAAGTACCGGGGATTCACGCAAAACGTACGAAGCGATGTAATCCATAATGTGTGATGAAAAGGAAGCATTCCTGGTGACAAAGGCCAAGAAAAATGTAACCACGACCGCGTAGCACCATGCGGTCACGTCGTAATGCGTGCTGCATGTTCACTCCTGCAGTCTTTACTAAATAGGGCATGCAGGGTAAGGGCTGACGGGAGAGCTATTAGATGAATAGGCAAGTACTGCACAGAAAGGAGAAGAAAAGGCTGAGAATGGAAACCAGGAGGAAAATGCTTTCTACTTACTTGCAGACTCTATAAACTTTGGGTAGGCATCGTACGTGATGAGTGGAATTGGCAAATCCCTGAAGTACAGTTTAAGTGCACCAGTGATAATATTGATATCTTCATACATATTCACAGAAATATCAGCTTTTTCCCCATCTGTGTGGAGAAGGCACTGACATTAAAGCCTTGGAAATGTAAACAGATGTGTAACAGCATTCAAAAGAAAAATACTTATTTGCTTAAGCAAACAATATTGAAAGGGACACAACTACAGATTTTGGCTTTTATAAGCAAAACAGAGTTACAGGGCTGTGAAGTTCATTGTTTCAGGATGAAAAACTCAAACCTTTTAACAGAGAAACCTATGCTTTTTTCATTTCAAAGGATTACCAAAAATGCAGGGTTTTTTTTTAAATTTTAAAAACCTCTTTGCCTGATCTCACAGTATCTATGTTGTAGAAACGTGTGGAAGTTTAGCTATTTCTGAACACACTGCATTGCCAAACACCACATTTGTCAGCACTGAATGAGAAATTAGGGGAGTCTGGGAAAAAAAGAAAGGAAACCAAGTTAGTCCGCAGCCTCCCCATTTTATAGGGAAAACATGTGTTCACCATTCAGCTACAGCGTACCAGCTACTCCCGACCGCAGCGGACACAGCTCCAGACCTTGGCTTCCCCAGTGCATCCCCGCCCTGCTAACGCCGCAGAGGCAGATGTTGTCTGAGCAGGTCCAGTCCTCCGGAGGAACCGGAGAGAGCGTTTCCAGCATGGATTTTGGCCTTGGCTTCTACTGGGACAGGGGGACTGCCTTTAGTTTTCCCACTGCCTCTTCTCAGAGAGAAGAGTTTGTTCTCGTTGACCTTCTTTTAGACTGTAATGATTCAAACTTTCTTTGCACTACTGTACTCATTATTTCGGAGCTTTCATCCAGAAAGATGGATTTAAGTTGCACAGCCCTCTTAAGGCACTTTACCACTTGCCCTCTATCCCTCCCCCACCCCCCTGAGCACAGTTTTACTTGCAAACTAGGGCAGTAGTTCAGAAAGCTCCGTCCTTTCCTATGCACATCGTTACGGAAGCACAGATGCTGATGGAGGGAGAAAAGTGGATTTTGGCAATAAAGGCCAAAGTGAAGCTGATAATGCTTTTCTGATGGGGAGACTCCCCTTCTGCTAGCACAGCCGCCGGACTCCTCCCGCCCACTGACGCAGTGGAGCGCGAGACAGGGGCCGCACAGAAAAATCGTGTCTATTTAATACGTCGGCACAAAGTTCCAGCATGCAGGGAAGACTGTACCTCTGTCAAATGCCATTTTGACGTCTTCGATAAGATCACTAAATCCTGAGACTCTGTACAGTCCTTCAGAATTGAGACCTGCAATGATTAAAATTAGTCTTAATTTTACAGCTTCCTGCCACCTAGGTCTTCCTTTGCCAGGTTCTTCATTTAAGGGAGAAAAAAGCAGACACGTTTCAGAAGTCTTATCAGGCTTTTCTGTCAGAATGAAATCTTATCCTGGGTTTTTAACCCTGAGCCTTGCATTGGCTGCCCTATCAGCGCTAAATTATGTTTATGCAACGATTTCAGAGCTGAAGAAACATATTAAAACAATGACAACCGATTTAAAAATAGCTGAGATTAGCATGCTTCATGTTCAGTCATTATTTCAGAATGAAAACAAATACTCTAATTCTAGAAAAGGATACTCACCGTGGGCTAGGGGAACTAGTAAAGGAAACTCACCAATAGTAACTGCCTTTGTTTTAGCACAGTCACTTAATTTTTAAAATAAAAACATTATTGGAAAGATAGGTGCCAATATGTAACTATAAAGCAGTCATTGTCCATTAAGCAATTTCTAGCAGAATCCATAAAAATTATAAATGAAGTACGAAGCATGAAATAATGCAAAGTATAATATTGGCTGTGCAGGGTAATTGGCAGTCATAAATGTCTTGTGCACATCGGTTTTGAGCGGTCGTACATTCAGAAGAAACCCAGATGACCCAGATCAATCCAAACGGATTATCAGTAAAGCAACAAAAGCCCATTAACTATGCCTTACCTCTAGATTCAATTTCCCTAATGCACATATCTACTACCATTGGTCTCTTAGTGAAGTGTGCTTTTACTAGCGTTGTAAGGTCACAGCTGTACACTTTTTTGACGTGCTTCAGGTCTGGCTTGCAGTCATTTGGGACCATCTTGGAACACTGCTTGTGCACATTTAAACCACAATCTGAGAGAAAAATGAAAAGACAATTAGGCTGGTGTTTGGTGAAAACAAGTCCTGAGGTCAGCACTGCGGAGGACGTACGGCTCCTGCAGGATCTGACACAATCTCGCAACTACTACTTCTGCTGAGACCTCTGTACCATCAAATGCGTGAGGTAGTGACAGACCTGAACTACACAGATTTTCGACCCAAGACATTTCTTCTACCCCTAGAAGACCTAACACAAAGCGACGATCTCTCCGTATGATTTTGTTGAATCGGGACCTAAGGGCCAGTTATGTTCCCCACCGCTATTACTTACGTTGCTGTCGCGATCTAAACTTTCTTCCCAAGCTGCGGCAGGTTTCCTAACACTTACAGTTTTAATGTCATGCTGGACTGTGGCAGTTCGACACCTCCTCGAGCAGCCTGGGGGAGACGAAGGTAGGGCTGGGTCTCGGAAGGCTACAACCCTTCTGCAGCGCGCGTTGGCAAGGCAGTGCCAAGATCCGAACCGCTGCAGGGACCCCTGTGCTCCTGCCGGGCGCGGCACCCCACGCATCGCGTTGCTAAGACAGGGCCCGCTCCCCAGCTCGGGGGGGAGCTGAAACGCAGACGCAGGGCTCACCACGCGGGTCGGCGGTGCCTTGCTACCCAGCAGTTTGCAAAGGACTTTGCTAAGTCACGGCGGCTGCAATTCTGATGCGGTTTCACAAGGTGGTTCTGAAACAAAGCGTCGGCAGGCACCGAAACGGTTCTGTTTACTTTAAAAAATGACTTCGGGAAGATTCATTGTGTTTTAAAAAAAAACATAAACAAACAACTCCACAGTTTTATTGTAAACACACTGAGAATGAGATTTAGTTTGAGTGAAACTTAATTGAAATCAGGTTGCAGAAAAATGTTTGTTCTGCCCAAAACCACTCAAAAATATAACACCCAGGGTTTGGGGAAAAAAAACCAACTTGGAACACACCACCAGTTATGCAGCGAAGATGGGAAGAGCAATACAGTCCCCTTTAAGCTACGCACGGACTGCAATCAACGCCGTCAGGCAGCCTCCCACGCCGGCTGGGGCGCGGGCCAGCCCCCCGCGACTCCATTTTCAGCGCCGCCCTCCTGGTTTGCAACGGAGACTCCCAGGCGTTTGCAAGGAAACGGCGACCGGCGAGGCCAGCGGCGCTTTGCGGTCAGGGCGTGTGCCACGCTCCGACGCGCACTTGGTACACGCCGAGACACCCGGTCTGCGAGTTTTTCCTCTACCTCGCGGCATCACCGTAAGGAGTCCCTGGATTTCTGCAGAATTAAGGGAGGCAGGAGCTTGAGGGATCAACACCTTGATGGAAACCTGTACTTTCCTCTCCCACTGCAGCACTGAGAATCTGTCTGTATAGATTCCCTTTGCATTACATTCCTGAAATTGTCGATACTTGTATTTTCATTAATGACCCATAGATTATTTGACTTTGCTCTTTCCAGAGCAGTAAACCCCAGAATTCATCGCTAAGTTAAATTTCCACCAAGTCAGCTGCAGCCTGCTGCTAAAAGCACTCTGTTTACTTAACAGGCTTGTAAAGCACCCCGCTTTGTCACTTAGGGATCCTCTGTAAAACATCCAAACTCTGGTTGCAATTAAAGTTCAGCATGTCACCTTCAATCGGTCAAGACTCACACAGATCCCAATGCAGATGAAATGGCTGATTAAAATTCTCTTGAGCTATTTCTACGCAGGAGTGACTTCCCTCCCTCGTGAGGAGTGGTTAACGCGCAAGACGGAGGTGCGAACGCCGAACTTCCCACCTGGTCGTGATTTTGCATTGCGAACTTTAAATATCTATCACCAGTGCTACATTTTGGCTGAACTTTGAGAAATCGGGTCCCTCTGTGCTTTAAATAAGGAACCCAAATTCATTGGAAACAGGTGACTTGAATCCCTTCGTGTCGCAGTGCTTCAGCTGTAACATGGGAAGGAGAAGCTGTTCTTGCCTCCTCTGGGGCTTGCAGAAACAAATTCATTAAACGGTTGTGGAAATACAGAGGAGAAATTACTCATCTTCGGTGTAAGGTTTGAGTATTGTACCATTAATAAGACCGATGGCTACACTTCTAACGAGACGATGACAAAATACTGAATAGGTGCCGTTAAGCAAGTGCCATCCCGTTCTGCTTTCAGAATAAGGATGAAGTAGTGGAAAAAAACAGTAAGTAGCCAAATAATTAGAGGCAACATCTTAATGCACATACAGAAGAGAAGCAAATTAAGACCACATAGGAAATCTTAATTCTTGACTTCCTTTATTTCAAAAACCTAACTTTGCAATAATAGTATTTACAAATGCAAATATAATTATTATACGTAGAATTCCTACAACTGCTGCAAGAAGCACCTATTCCAACATGTGTGAAATGGTCTAGTACGTCTGTCAAAAATGAGGTCTACAAGACTGGAATGGCAGCATCTCGCTCACGAGGACTCACGAGCGATTTTGAGAGTGCGAATTAGCTTCTTCACACAGACAGCAATATAGCTTAGAGCTATGTTTCCGGGAAAGAAAAACATGCTTTCAAGTATCTTGTACTTGACTTAAAACAATTATCGCATTCACTGAGATCATCCTAATTATATTTATATACAAGAAAATTTCATTTCATCAAAATATCTAACTTACAAAGATCTTTTCAATGTGAAAACCTTGCTTCTGAAAATAATTGCGTTATTGCTAATCCCACAGATTCAAATGGGCTTTGGATCTGACCTCATTAATACCAGAATAATAATTACAAACGCAAAAGTCGATTTTCCTCCTCTCTCGTTTGTTCTTCCTTTGCATTTGATCAAGAATTTATGCACCAGCTTACTGCTTAAGGGCTTACAAACGCCCCTGAGAAACATCTGAAACCTAGAAATATTTCAGATACTTACTGCTTAGAAAATGCATGAGCACTAGGCTGAGTATTTTTGGACTGCGTGGTGTCCTCCTAACAGTCAAGGCACCTTTACCCAGGTGGGCCTCTCTCCCCAGCTGACACCACTTCGTGAAAGGCAGCACAGCCGCGTCTCAGTCGCTAGTCTCTGGTTCAGTTGACAACCAGAGCCCCACATGGATGAAGTATGACTTGCTAGTCAAGATGATCTGTCTTGCTAACTCCAACAAGGTAAGAGGCACATGGGCAGGAGGTCAGCTCTCCTCTCCACTGAGCACTGGGGACGTGCCAACCTTCTACTCCGTACTCAGCTTACTTGTTAGTACTAAAGGACAGGAATTACACTGCAAATTGCATATTATTAAATAAAAATGCCCTCTGGTCTCATTGCAGATGCTTCATGAAAGCTTTGAAACCCATTATCTTAGAATCAACTAGGAAGGAACAAGACAGCAGAGTCCTGAATCTCTCCGCGTGCTGCCACATGATGAAGCTTTAGGCTTGCTTGCCTTGTTCACACATGAGCTTCATGATTTGGCTGGGTTCATTAAGACCAAGAGGATTTCGTATTTAGGGTCTATTTACTTTTGGTTATATCAAAACAAATCCAGAATAGCTAAGTTGGCGCTAGCAGCTTTACTCCAGATCTAAAGTAACCAGGAGTTTTATCCATTTCTTACAGTTCATCAGAGTTTATCTGCTGGCTGGCTATACAAATTTGTGAGGAGCTCAAGAAAAATCCCCCTAAAGCATCTTATCTGTTGATAAATCCTGTAATAATACAGGACAGATTTTAAAAGATGCAGTCATGAACCCTTGCAGGTCAATAGGAAAACTTCTGCTGACTTCAGTTAATGAGAATTTCACCTTATAGAGAAAAGATTTCTCAGGACTAGAACTGTGAATCACACACACTATTCCTTTTTACAGTGTTATCAAACTGTGGCCACCTTTCAAATATACCAAATGCGACCAAACAAAAATGCAGTCATAAATTCAAGAGTTTATAGGGAGTTTGGAAATTTAGGAAAAAGAACCAAAAGAGAGTAATTTTAGATGACAGGTTTAAAAGTCTGCGATAAGCTGCCCTGACCTCAATAGCATATTGATCTAGGAGTTCAGGTGGGCTGTGACATTACTTCTGTGAGAGGCATTAAATTTAAAACCAGCCTGACAACACTCTCCTATGATGCCTAGAAAAAGGTTTAGGTAATGTTTTAGAAACAGCTAACGTTAGTCCACTGGCCTGAAAGAACAAATACCATGTTCATATTAATGCGTGAGCAGAGCCGAAGGATACATGGACCTTAATACCACCCCATGAGCACACATTATAAATATTTACAGAGACTAAAATATACTTAGCTGTCATTTTTTGTTTTACTGCTGATTTGACTTTAGTCAGTTTTAGATCTCCATCGGTTTATGATTTGCTGGCTAACGTGGCTGCTGGTCACGCCGCACCGGAATGACACCGTATGCTATGCATATCACGGTAATCGTATTTTTTAATTATCCCAAAGAAAACTTAGGCATTTTGTCACTCCGAGAAGCAGCTTTAAGAGATGAAAGGTAGATTTACGTCATCTGCAAAAAGTTCTGAAAGACTCCTCAGAGGTTCACGGTGAGCGTGGGAGGCGCAGAGCTGGGGTGCTGGCACCGCGCGTTGCCTCGGGCAGGTCCACCGCGGCACCCGCCAGGCAGGGCAGCACCAGCGCCTTCAGTAAGCCGACGCGCGAGGATGACGGGTTCTACACAAGCACAAAGCGCTGGCATCGTTGCTTCTGCAAGAGTGGAAAGGCTACAAAGGCATCTGCTCCCATAAATCAGCCATGAGCTGGTAGCTGTCCTTTCATAATTTAGCGCTCTTTCCTGTAGCCGAGGAAGCAACGTTTTGTCCCCTCGCTGCAGCGTGTGCGAAGGAGCACGGGAACGCAGCAACCCCGCCGGCCCCGCACGCCGTGCTTCCAGGCACAGGGCAGGGGGGTGCTATGAAGGTCTGTGCTCTTCCTCCTCCTCGGCAGAGCCGTTCCAGCCTGGCTGGCAACACCGGAGCTGCTACGCTGCCTTACATATGTGCCATGTGTTAATGTGCGATG